TGATTCTTACTACAATCTCAATACCAAAGAGTGCTGTGTGTGACCTCAGGCAGAGGTGGCGGAAGCAGAACTCAGCTCTGGGCATTGATGCTAGCCTGGTCTTTGAAGTTAGATACTGTTCCCTCTCGGTTACTTTTTTCCCTCTTCCAGTTTCTTCCAAGTTCTTAACTCCTTTATAATTCCAAATTACTATTCAGAAGTCGGAGTTTATGATTCAAATGTAGAGATGTCTTTCAAGTTCCTTTTAAACCTCTTCTCCTCCCTCCCATAGCCTTGTGTGCGTTCTCCCAGTTTTCTAACAGACAGCAGGACATTTTACAGACAGAAACACATGCTTGGATGCTGTGTTTGAATATCTTTCCTTTTAATGGTCTTCTGCCTGGATCATTCAGCTTGAGAGTCCCGGTTGAAAGGTTAGAATGTATTTCTGAGGCCACACCAAGCTTTTACCCACCTTAGAGCTTCTAACAATAGAAAGGAGTTATAAAGGAGTTATTGCCGTGTCTAAAATGGTTCCTATGCAGACAAAGGCATGGTCTTGTCGGCACACTAAAGGAGAGAGGATTCGTGCTGACGATGGCTGCCTCTGTCTCCCCAATGCCGACTGGGAACCGTGGAACGAAAGCATCCCTCAGCATAGGCATCTTTCCCTCCAAACACGGCTGGTGCTAGGGAATCCAGGAGTGACCCCGTCTCATGCCACCCCAGGCCTCACAATTTCACTCTGCATGTTCAGTTATCTCTTTAGCAGTCTGTGAACAGCAAAGATGAAGTGGGAGAATGCTACGTGGTTACTATCTCGGATTTCACTTGTCGTTACCATGGCTTGGATATGGAATGTCTCCCCAAGGTGAGTGTGTTACTCATGGTAACTGCTGGCAGGTGATGCAGCCTCTAAAACTCTGGGACTAGTGAGAGGTCTTCTGATCCCTGGAGGTGTCCCTAAGGGGATGGTGACAACTTGGTCTTTTTCTCCCTCAGCACAAAGGCAGATTTGTTCCACCAGCTACACCTGCCAGGATTTGCTTCCTGAGACCTGAACCAGCAGAGCCAACTGATAACACACCAAATCCTCTAATGCTATAAGCAAAACAAAAACAAACAAACAAACAAACAAAAACACAAACCACCCATATTTTCTTTATGAGTTGGTTGTCTCTGTTATTCATCATTATTGTCATGAGAGGCTACAAAGTTGTACACACAGAGCCACATGTTTATCTTTTCAGCCTTGATAAGAAATTAAACCAATATCAGCTAATGAAGGAAGTGTTACCTGCCTACCAACCCAGGGAAGAGCCTCCCTCGAAAGGGCAAGAAAGCCAGCCTGGGTCCTTCTGACACCTGACTTTAGAAGCAAAAGACAGCATCAGTGTAGCTCCCAGGAAATCTGAACTTATCTGGAAGGAATTCTTTGATACTGAAATTAAAGTTTACCTTTGAATTTTAAAGGACTTTCCTTAGCTTTTGGCAAAAGCCCATATTACTGTGAAATAGAATGCCCATGGAAGAGTGTGCAAAGCATAAACTCCCAGCATAATGGCTACTATGAAGTAAGTGTCCATGTGCCCACCATTGAGAGAGGAAGCCAGGGCATCGGAGCATGGCCAGTCCACTTAGGGAGCCATGGGTATGTTTGTTGCTATATATAAAAATATTTATTTTATTTCATATGGATGAGTGCTTTGCCTGGATGCATGCATGTGTATTATGTGTGTACCTGGTGGAAGTCAGAAGAGGGCATCAGATCTCCTGGAACTGGAGTTATAGACAGTTCTGAGCCACCATATGGGGGCTGAGATTGGAACTTAATTCCTCTGCAAGAACAGTAAGTGCTCTTAACCTCTGAGCCATTTATTTAAGTGTTGAAGCAGGATGAATATAAATGACCTAAGCTGGGTTTTTAAGCACTGGTATTATTTTGATAGAATATCTGGGGCCTTATGTGTCTCAAGCAGCAATGCATAACTACTTCCCCTCCAAAGAGACAAGCATGACCTGAAACAAATGCTTTCAACTTCCGTGAAAACAGGAGGACTTCCTTCAAAGGCTGTACTACGGTGATAGACAGACAACAGATGACACATAGGGATGCCTGCTTCCAATTTTACAAGCTTCATTAACATCAGATCTCCTGTGATTGGAGTTATAGACAGTTCTGAGCCACCATAAGGGGCCGAGGACAGAAGTTGGTTCCTCTAAAAGAGCAGCCAGTGCTCTTAACCACAGAGCCATTTCATTTACATTCTGTCATTCAATGCAGCACACATCATCACTTTTGAATGGAGGTCGAGTACAATTATCATTATATGGTAATAAATTGGGACCAATTCCAGAGAGGAAGAAAAGATACACAAAAGTTCTAATTTCTCTAGTAGCACACTACACTGACTCTGCTGTAGACTCCTGTTGTCTCAAATGACACCTTGTTACCAGATTTTTCTGAATGCATTTTTACATGAATAAATCCAGAAAGGGAACAGTCTCTAGCTTGTCAGTTTTGATGCTCATGTATAGCCTCTTAATAATATTCAAAATATGAAGAAAATGACTGTATGATTTTAAAAGAAATTAGCAGCATAGTACAAAATTCAAAAATACAAAAATATAGAGAAGTTTGCCAGGACATCACTTTGTTTCTAGTATTTTTGTTTTGGTTTGTTTTGTTTTTTTGCTACTCCCAGATGATGGGTTCCATTTCTAGGCAAAAATTCAGAAAAAAAATTGTGGGTCACAACTATTATGGGATATTACTTTAACTAGGCAAAGATGTGTTGCATTTGTTTATGTAAAGATGTGTTGCTGTTTCACCTTGCCTGTCTAAGGCTCCCAAGCAGTCTAATAAAAAGTTGATCGGCCAATAGCTAGGCAGGAAAAGGATAGGCAAGGCTAGCAGGCAGAGGGATCTGGGCTGGAGAGAAGAAGAGAAGAGAAAATGAGGGAGAAAGAGAGGGTGATGCCGGGGGCCAGCTAGGCAGCCACCAGCCAGCCAGCCAGACACAGAGTAGGACATGCAGAAAGAAAGGTAAAAGGGCCCCGGGAAAAGATAGACAAAAAGAAACAGGTTTATTTAAGTTAAAGGAAAAAAAGTTAGCCAGAAATGAGCATAAACTAAGGTTGAGAATGTATAACTAATAACAAATCTCTGTGCCATGATTTGGGAACTGGTTGGTGGCCCAAAAGAAGAAGCCTGTTCAACACACAACCATTCTGGAGGTCACATATCAGATATCCTGCATATTAGACACTTGCATTACAATTCATAACAGTAGCAAAACTACAGTTATGAAGTAGCAACAAAAATAACTTTATGGTTGGGGGTCACCACAACATGGGGAACTGTATTAAAGGGTCATGGCATTAAGAAGGTTAAGGACCATTGGGTTATAAGCTCTCTAAAAGAGTTTAAAAAATAAAATCAGGAAATAAGAAAGGTTATGTTGGGTTTTCTTGCGATTTGGGGTAACTCAAAGAGCAGGAGGCTCCCTGCAGAGCCTTACCCTCTGCATAGAGCCACCTAGTCCTTAGAACTGTGAACTTGTTTATCTTCGGCCACAGGTTGAAAGAGTAAATTTCCAAAATTCCAAACAGATTTTGACAAATCATTATTCACATTTATGGGAGAGTACACTTGCCAGCTAAAAAGTCCTCCAGATGGATCTTATCTCAAAGACAATTCACCCAGTTACTAACGGAATCATCTGCCCAGAAACCAGCTGCAGAGGAGCCTTCAGTGGGGAAACGCCAGACAGCTCTGCCCACGCCTGCTCTCAAAATCCCAGGTATCCATATGAATCAATCCTGGTTGTAGCCAAGAAGCATCTATAGAGGAGGCTGGCAGAGACCTTTGATGGGCACTGGGTACCATAGAAGCATGTTTGATAGAAGATACGTCATCAAGTCAAGATGAAGAACAGGCTGTACATTAGCCTTTTGTTCTCCCTTAGGCAGGATTTTCATTACTCTGCATATTATACGTTCAGCTATAAATCAGGCACAGTGATAGCTCATTCTACCTTGCAAAGGCCTCAGGTGAGAGACACTGGTGACAATGATTTTAGGAGGAAAGAGGGCAGGACAGACTGAAAAAGCTCTCCCACTCATTCCGTAAAGCACACCCACAGCTGTGTCTAGACAGTCTCAAAAACACAAAGCCCTCGAGAGCAGAGCTGTGAGAGGACTGAGATGGCAGCCCAGACAGACAGCTGGATCCCAGGTAAATCAAAGGAGCTTGGCCCAGAGAGAATCCACTTGGCACAACAGAAAAGAACCAGCAACTCTCATCTGGGGCCCTAGCATCCTGCTTCCTGGCATGAGGATCCACAGAATAATGACAGCTTAAGCACTGACTGACAGCAAGTAAAGCCGTGGATGGGCCAGGTTGCTTAGGAAAATGATGGGGCTCATGATCAGACCTGTGGTGTACCATGCTCCTTTACTTGGAATCTTACATGAATAGAAAGAATTGTCTCAGTAATTCTAGGTAGACCAAGTCTACCCTGGGTGTTTAACGTGGATCAATGATAATGTATAGTTTTATAAAGAAAAGAGTTACGAGGAGGCAGAGAAAATGAGAAGTCTAAGAGATGATGGGGAAAGGTGTGTGTGTGTGTGTGTGTGTGTGTGTGTGTGTAATTCATCTCAGGGCTTAATTTACAAAAGAAACAGTCATGCTCTTTTCTTGAACTTAGATTGAACCCTGGTTGAGGTTAAAGAAGTTCATGTGGGGAATGAAAAGATACTCAGTGGTTAGGAGCACCCACATGGCCGCTCACAACCATCTGAGACTCCTAGTGGCTCTGATACACTCTTATAACCTCTGAGCGTACCAGGCATGCACAAGTTGCATAGGCATACATATAGGCAAAACACACAAACACATAAATCTTAAAATGGGGAACATTTGATGTTGGTGGTGCAGATATTTAGACACTGACTAGAAGACACTGTATTGGCTCACACAGGTGTCTAGACTGAGGCTTTGGGGGGTTCTCAAGTACCTGTTTTGGTCAAGGGGATTGAGAACAGTTGCTGAAGAAGTTTGTTCTCAGACGTCCTCAGGACTACAACCACGTCAGCAGGGAGAGTGTCTCTGTTTTTCTCAAGAACCCCAGAAGCATCATATAATACCTGGAAAACAGACAGCAAAGTGTGTAGGTTAACAAAGGCAACTGACTGTGGCTAGTGACACTGGCAGGTCATCTGGGTAGTCGTTACCCAGCAATGGTTATAAACATCCTCTTATACTCGGCCTTTTGACTACAGAGCACCAGATAAAAGGGAGAGGTTGTACTTCTGACAGGTCAATTTATCTTAGCTTCTTGTCGAGTTATCTTTGAAGAAGAGGGTCCTACTGAAGATATAGCACGTCAGAAAAACTGTTAAAATATACTGAGGAATCATCATGTGTGAAACATCCATCCTCTTTCTAATGATAGGCAAGCAAGAGCTTAGCAAGGGGCTGAGTGAGCTAAGTGTTGGATCGTCATCATACTGGGACTCATGACCAGCACACCTTCTCAAAGTACTCATGGGATCTGAGCAGTCAAAGTGGTCCTTGGTTCTTGGCAACAAGGGAATCTAACTTAGAGGTGTTTTAATGGATATTCTCCAAATCCCTGGAGTGGTGTGGTGCTTTGAATGAGATTCTCCACATAAACTCACATGTTTGCAAGTTTGGGTCCTAGTTTGGTGGACTGCCGAGGAAGGATTAGAGGTGTGACCTTGCTGGAGTAGGTATGCCACTGGGGGTAGGCTCTGAGATTTCAAAAGCCATGCCCAGTCCCTCCCCTCCATCTTTCTCGGTCTCCCTCTCTCTTTCTTTCTGCCTGCTACCATGCTTCCTATCATGACCATCATGGATACACCCTCTAAAGTTCCCAATTAAATTATTTCTTTTAAAAGTTGCTTTGGTCAAGGTGTCTCCTCATAGCAATAGTAACCTTAACTAAGATAAGTGGTAAATAAATTCAGCAAAGAGTTCACAACCCAGAGAGAAAAGGATCCTAGGAAGGAGAAAAAAGAGAAAGAGAAAAGGTAGAAAAATAATGTGTGTAAGAGGAAAAGATGGATGGGTACGATGAGGGTATGACAGAGAGGCATAAGGGATAAGGAAGACAAGTTTACTTTTGATTTAGGATATATATGTGGGAGATAATTTGGGTACATCACACATTGATAGAATAACCCCAAATACCTTTCATTGAACCCCGCCCATTTTCTGGATCTAGGGCCTCAATAAAACCTATTAAGAACTGATCACAATTCATTTGGTTTATCTGGGAGAAACACAGCAGTGAGCTGTCGAGACTGGACAGTTTCCCGAATCAGTCACCAATTGGCTTCAGGGACTTGAATCGAGATAGAAGCATGATACATGAGAAATAGGAGTTCTAGCTCATGTGGTAAAAACACATCTGGATGAGTGAGACTGTATCCTTTCACTAGACATTTCTAGTGGCCCATAGACATGTTGAAAATGCTAAAAAAACAACCCCACTGTGTTATCAACCATCCTATGTCACCTACACTCCAATGACTTCAGAATGTGAACATTTACCATGAAACCCTGCATAGGCTGCAGCATGTTTCCTGTCTAGAGAGCTGTTGGTTCTGGGCCAGGCTGTAGGCCATGTGGGTGGTAGCTCCATGGGCCACCATACCTACAAATAACACCACTGAGGACATTTGGAAATTGTGGTTAGATTTAAAAGGAGAGTGAAGTCTACAAGCAGTTTAATGAGCATCCCCATGGGGACACAAGTCTTTGGTCATTCTGGTGTCCCATAACTCCTGCCCCTCTCACCGGTCCAGCATAGTGTTGAATGCCAAAACAGAGCTCTACTCCTTTGGGCCTCCAGAAGAACTTGCACCGTAGGTTATCTTCAAATTTATCTGTGTGCAGAGAAGAGGAGTCTGGAACGCTCATCTCTAAATGGGCATCTCCCTCCCTCCCTCTCTCTCTCTCTCCCTCCCTCACCCCCCCCACACACACACCAAGGCTCAGGGATTATCACAAAAGGTGTGGAAAGTGTCAGAAGGAGCAGACATCTGAAATGAAAACAGTATTTACTGTACATGACAGTACAGTTGCACATGAATTCACAACCCCAATATGCAGTCTGTGACTGTGTCTATGTCACAGCCCACAAGACCCGCACAAGATTAGACCAAGCCCAAATCTCAGCATGGGGAAGGAACCCATGAGGTTCTCCTTCTAGGTGAGGCGCTGTTGGCAACCGATGGCTGCTAGAGGGAGGAAGAGCCAGCTTTCTCCAGGGATGCAGGCCCTGAGAGTTTACCCACGCTCCAAGAGATGGCCCTACAATCATCCATATATAGACCTACATGAACGCAGGTGAACTCAAATGCATGAAGTTGAGAGGGGAAAGTAGTGGTAGAGGGGAATAAGGGAAAATGGGATGGGATGGGGGTAGATTTGATCCAAACATCCCAAGTGCACGTATGAATATTAAATAAAATATTTAAAAATTTTACATGCATGGTTTTTCATGTTGGAGAGTCACAGTGGAAACTGCTTGCTCTTTCAAACACAAATCTGCCCCTCCAGCCAGAGACACAGACCAGCCCCAAGCAGCCCCACTCAGATGGGCATGACCCATCTTGCCTTCCTTTAGCTGTTAAGATGTCACATTCCCTTCCTAGCTCTAAGAAATTCTAAGTATGGACACCCAAGACAGTCTCAGACTTCACCAAGGAGCTTTGGAACCATTCAGATAGGCTAGGAGGGCAGATAACCCCAGGTTAACTTCATTAGGGCAATGTACAGATAAGAAAACCATTGGTGCTGCCAGCTTCAACACTTTGAAGTGAGTCTCCCATACATCAATTTCCAGCTGAGGAAAGGGCTTGAAACTTTCTACTCTCCCCTACAAACAATGTTTACATCACTGTGGAAATGACTGAGAGCTCAGTGTGAAGAACTGTACTAGGTACTAAAGGCAGATAAGGAACTGGGACCCAAGGGCTTCTAACATCACAACACAGGTAAAGAAAAAAGCTCATTGAAACTGAAGACTCTTAAAAAAAAATATCATGAAGGATGTGGAGGAGGAATTGGGGGCAGGAAGTGGGGGAGATAGAGCACTTGGATATGGACTGGCAAGATGATTCAGGTACTTGCCACCAATCCTGATGACCCAAGTTCAAGCACAAGGTAGAGGGAGAGGACCAACTCCTACAAGTTGTTCTCTGACTACCTCCTCCACATGAGATAGATAGATAGAGATGGATTTTAGATAGATGATAGCTATAGAAAGATACATAGATGATATATAGATGACACATAGATGATATATAGATAATAGACAGAGGTAGATAATTAATAGATATGGATAGAGACATAAATGATATATAGATGACAGATACATAGATGATAGAAGATAGATAGATAGATAGATAGATAGATAGATAGATAGATAGATGTGAAGACTTTAGATGCCAATAGGGTGTGCATATCTCTATCCAGAAGATACTAGCAACCTAAGGAAATGTGCTTTTAGAAAGACTAAACCAGCAGGAATGTCTATCGAAGAGGGGGCATTGTGAGTCTGGGATCACAGGGCTCCTGCACTACTTGGGACTAAAGGTAGACAGGAGCTCTGGTGAAGATATGGCACAAGCTTGCAAAGGGCATATGAAGGATCATTTCTCAGCCTTTGGCACTAAGATGAAGTATAAAGAGTCTGGGTACCCAGGGAGGGGAAGGTATAAGATGATATAAGCATAAGGAAATGTGTGTTGGCAGAATATGAGGATGGGAGGGCACAGGCGTGGTGATAGATTTAAGTCAGGGCATGCAATTCATTTCAAAAACAATTCTTAATTTTTTTAAAATTTAAATGTGTTTGTGTGTATGTGTGCTCCTGCTTGCTTGTATGCACAATGTATGCGTGCAGATGCCAGAGGAAGCAGAAGATGGTGTTGATACCTATGTGAGTGAAGTTAAGGGTGCTTGTAAGCTGCCCCAATATGAGTGATGGGAACTGAACCGTGTTCTCAGCAAGAACAAGAAGTCTTCCTAACCTCTGAGCTATCTCTCCAGCTCCCACTTTTACAACCCACAAAGTATTCCAAGTAAACGTGAAACACAGCCACCTAACACCTAGTGTCAAGTTCCACCCTCCAGCATGTACACTTTCCCCTAAAAGGTACCTACCAACCAAGGTCTGGTCTGTTGCTTGGGGAAATCGACTTTCCTCATCCAAAAGTGCAAGAAGGCCCAAGGGTTTTTGGAGGAACATGTCCAGGAGCGGGCGATTGTCTTCGTATTGCACAAGGACAGCATCAATGCCTTCATTCTGGTACTCCATCTGGAGGGAAACAGACCGTGACTCTCTGGCCTGACACTGGCCTGGGTACCACCTGGACTTTGTAGGTCTGGCCATATTGAGACATGTGAGTAAGTGGGTGTGTTTGGGGCTATGGATAAAGAATCTAAATATTACAACCTCAACAGTGTTCACTTAAATGTGGCCTATGATGGGACATCAAACACTTAACCTCCCAGCCACTGGGTTGGAAACTCATTATTTAGAAACTCGGGTAGGAAAGTGCTAAAACCCTATCTAAGAACACTATCTTAGTGCTTACATGATTTCTTTCTTCTCTTAAACGAGCATTTAGGGCTGGAAAACTAGGCAACTCCGTGTTTCCCGGGGAAGAGAAATGGCAGGGCTCTGGGTGTTCCTAAAGTCAAGTTCTATGTAAGGTGAACAGGCGATGGAGGTTCTGCAGACATAGCCAGAAACTGTGTGTTTCCTCTGTGTCCTCCTCCCTGCCCCTTGCACTGAGGCTGTCTACGGCACCCACGGGCTTGCTCGTGTTACTTTCACACGGAAGGGAGTCTTTAGGTTGCAGCATAGGTCAGGTGGGACAGAACGGTGCTCAGGCTAAAGGTGCAGGAGGAAGGGCCTGGCATCTTGGAGCTGCTTGCTTCTCAGACTGTCGAATTTGCCACTGAACTGTGTGAGGAACAGACTCCCATATCTAGAGATTCTGGGTGTTTCTCCTCCTTGGAGACACCCCTCCATTACTGGGGTGCCTGACGCAGAAGCAACCAGAGATGATGATGGTGAGTGTGGATTATAAGAATGGTGTCTTAGGCTCAGGGTCACCCGGTCTCTTCTTGGACACCATTATAGATAATTTTAGACCAAACAGGAGAGGATGGAACATATTTGACAATATACAGGGAATAATCTTGAAGCAAGAGTTAAATAATTGGCCTCTCACCAGCTCCACTCAAGTGAGGGAATGTACCTTTCCGTGGAAATCAGGACCTTTCCTTGTCCCCAGACTAAATTTCAGCTGTTTATTTTGGCAGGACTGTCTCACCAGTGGTTCTTCTGGAATCTTCCACCTGACAGCTTGACTAATCGGGTTTTGCTTCAAATTGTGGCAGCCTGGCGACCACTGCGCTCCCCCCCCATGCCCCCCGGTACTCTTAGCTTCGGACTGGACTCAATCCTACCTGCTCAAGAGCAAACACGTGCTGATTGAAATAGTACTGGATCTGTTCGTTGGCAATATTTATACAGAGCTGTTCAAAGGAATTCCTCTGAAAATCCTCAAAGCCAAAAATGTCCAAGATGCCCACATTCATCCTGTCCTCCACTCTACTGCGAGAGAGAAAGAAAATTCGACAGGAGAAGTCACATCCAGTTACATCTGTCTCAAAACAATGAATGTGTAAGTTCCAGTGTGGATCCACCCACTTGGGGAAAGAGGACTCCTGCCTCCTCAGGGACAGCAGTTAGAAACTTTCAATAACATTACTTTTAAAAGAGAAAAAAAATTAGAATGCTTTAAATAAACTCCTTTAAAATCTTACTCAGGGCCAGGCATGATGGCATCTACCTGTAATCTTGGCATTGGGTTGGGGGGGGCGCGGGGAGGAGGCTAAGACAGGGCTGTCAGGAGTTTGAAGTCATCCTGGGCTACAGAGCAGGACTCTGCCTCAAAAACATAAATTTTCAAAAAGAGAGAACAGAACAATAATTACAGAGAAGCTCCCATGGGGCCCTGGCATCTCCTACATATTCACCCATCTACCCACCCCAAAACATGCTTGGAAGGAGACTTCAGAATTGAACAGTGTTGATTCCTCTACAATATAGAAAAATAGTAAGGTCCAGAGGAGGAAAAGAAGTCCTAAAAACAATAACACGAGGATGAGTCTGCACTTCAGAGTTTGAAAAAAGTCTCATTTACTTCTCCAGACTCCTGAGGAGGATGTGTTAACTTTGCTTTCACAGAGATGAAAAGGGGCAGAACACTCAGCTGATGAAGCTGTGGATATCAGGACTTGAACCTGGCTCCCCCCCCCCACACATCCCCCTGCAAAGGCTCCTTCAGTCATTCTCTCAGGAGTAAATGCTTCATCTCTCCTGGTTGAATTGATGCTTTTAAAGGTGAAAGCTAGGGCCCTTTGGCTAAAGAAAACCCAAGTAGATCTAAAGTTCCCTCTTGCAAACTCTAAGAGACACCAGTGGCTGACTGATGGCTCCAGACCTCTGCTCCCCAAGGAACTTGCCATATGTTTTTATCCGGCTGCAGGAGTATGTTGATGCGATTCACCATCCAGCTGAACAGCCTTGCATATAAGGCCTTAGACATGGCATCCCTGACGTCTGCAGCCCTGTCCACCGTGTTGGCTCTGACAATGGTCTCGCCTCGGGTGACCACACAGTGGGACGTGAGGGCCTCTTGGAGCTCTTCGGGGCTGATGCAGAGTACACAGGCAGCTGGAACAAGGAGTAAATATGCTCCTAAACATGAGGCCACCCCTTCCCACAACCCGTTCCAGCCAGCACCTATAGATAGCATCTACTGTGTGTCAGGCTCCGTTCCAGGTACTTCACAGCCCAGACAAGCAAGGTCCCTGACTCCAAGAAGGCTCTGCACTGGAGAGCACAGCTCCCAAACTGTTCTGAAAGTGCCTCACGAGTGTTTACTAAGAAAAGTGGGGAAGGGTCTAAAGAGGGAGAGATCTTTTATCAAATAAATTGGAATAGACAGTCACAAACACATTGGGTAGGGATGACCCCTAAATAAAGTGCTATAGCTTAACACAAAAAGGGTTTTTTTAGTCAACTATTTTGGGGACAGAGTCTCACTATGTAGCCTAGGCTGGCTTCAGATTCTACACCCCACCCCCCCACCCCCCGCCTCTTCACAAGCTTTGAGACTGCAGCATTATATCCAGCTGTTGTTTCGCAGACACAAAGAGTCCTCACCCTTTCTTCCATCATGGGTGCTAGTAGAACTTTCAAAAGTAGGTGCTGCTTTCTCTCCTATGGATGCTGAGTTCATGGACTCATAAAGGGCCCAATCTTTTATATTTCTTCATAAAAACTGTAAATGATTTTGAAAAGCAGAGAAGGCAGAGAACCACTATGTGAAGTTTCTTGCCACAGATGGCTTTTCTGTACAACAACCATCTGTAACATGGGAGTGAATGCTGCTATACCACAGGGTGTCCTTCTGGGAAATGTTGGCTAGTGAAACCATCTAGAGCTAATTGGAGGACATTACGGCTGCATCATATTCTACAGATTCTTAAACAAACAAACAAACAAACAAAAAAGCTGTGCAAGTGAAAGACATGAACATTGGCAAGAAAGCACAGAAGCATCGATTACCATTTTTCAAAGCTTCGGCATTGGGCACCTCACTTTTATCAGTTTGGTGTTGGGAGGAAATGGCCGCAAACTCAATGTTCCCAATATTCAAAATCCCAGCCAGAATTCTGTACACAGAATGCACCTCCTGAAAAGGACATGGAGAGCCATGCTTGGGGTCATCACCAACCAAAGTACAGAATCCCTCATCCTTTAGTTGACGGTACTACATCAAACTCTGTCCTTCCTCTTCCTGCACACACACAGTTTTCTCAACCTTCCTGAAGTTGGAGGTCACAATGTCACTAAACATTAGCAATGAAACAAGTAGCATGTGTCTCCTCGGGTCCCAGGCCCAGGGGAATTGAGCACGCTTCCTCCATGTTTTCTTTCTCACTATTGCTGGCTAGAACTCCAGCAACCTGGCCTCAGCCATGTCATTAGACCATCAAAGGACCCCATAGAATGGAGCTGTTCTGCCACCTGGTGTGGTGACCAAGGGGGAAATGACCTTCTTTGTCCTTTAACTCGCTCTTAAGTCTTTCACTCTAATTAAACCAGCTCCCAAATCCAGAGATGGGCCTTTCTTCAAACAAGAAAGTAGATGCTCCCTCACCTCTTTGGGGTATGGGGTTTTATAAAATATCTAGGAGGGCACCCATTGATGACTTAGGATTGTAATGCATGAGGTGAGCACATATTTTCAAAGACTCACCAGAAATAATCCATGACATGATGATGTACAAAGAAGTAAGCATATTTTGCCTTTGTCTCTAGTTCCTAGCACAAGGGTTTCCAAAATTGTCTGGGTGATCAGATCTTCGTTATGGCAACAAGTGCCTTTTAACCATACCAGTGTTTCTGTTCATAAGTGTAATTTGGTGGGCTTCTAGATAAGACTTGTAATGGGCAGAGCTGGCTACTTAAGAGGAAATTAGTCTTAGAACTTAGTCCTCCCTCTTGATCCCAACAAACTCTGGGGGCGGGGGAGGGTTAGGGCTCTACACTGAGTTAATCACCAACAGCCAATAATTAATCAGTTGTGCATGTGAGAGAGGGCATGTACAGGTCCAGGGAAATTCCAAACTGGTGAATCCACGGAGGTTCTGGCAGAGTGGTGTGCCCAGGGGACATGAGCCCCTTACTGTTTATGACCATTCATTTTTTGTTTGGTTATTCCTGGGTTGTAAACTTTATTATAAGTCTGCAACCTTAAGTAAAATGTTTTCCTGAATTATGTGAACTAGTTATTAGTTACTACTACTACTACCACTAATAACAATAATAATAATAACTAGAATTAGGTATACTAGCTAATCAGGCTATAGAATAAGGTCATGGTAACTTTATAACCAGTTCAGAAGTATAAACCTAGGGCTCCCAGCTAGTGTCTGAAGTGGGGGATCTTGTGGGTCTGAACCCTAAACTTGGGGGATCTGATACTAACTCTAGATAAATAGACTGAGTAGAAATACAGGTCACTGAGTTTGTATAAGAGATTAATTGATTGGGCATTAAAAAAAATCACTTGTTTGGTGACATAAATTTGAGTAAAATCCATTCAGATTGCCTAGGTCCTGTTTCCATGTTCAAAGTTGAGCATATAAGTAGCATTAATGGATTAAGAATAATACATACGTTATTACATATTTAAATTCTAAGAAATGTGAAATAAGGAAACATCTAGTCGGGAATTTTCTAAATTTCATGCTAATAAACAAAGCTACTTCCATAAAACATATTCAAATGGGTTATTTGATTTAATACTGTACATAGCAGCCAAGTAATAGGAGCTGTCACTAGACCATTGATAAATACTACCCCCCAAATTGAGCCTCCCTGCAGATATTACTCAGCAAAGCCTAAAATATGAATGCAGGCTGTAACACTGACATCTGCTGGATGCCTGATAATGCTACAAAGACAAATAGGATTGGAAACCTGGCTTCTGCTGCAGATAAGTATTGTTCTTCCAGCTTCTAAATCAAGGGCAAGGTGTCGTGTTTCAGACGTGAAGCATCCCTATTTAATCACACAACTTAAGAGTGGCTAAGGAGAACACCTACCAAATGGGTTTTTTTTAGAACTTGCCTGGATTTAACATGACAGCCCCTCATTACCGTGATCAATACAGGATGAGTCCTGCCGCATGCATCAAGTGACTCCCGGCTGAGGCAGATCTGAGAGTTTGAAGCCAACACTGTAGAGATGAGTTCTGTATCTACCATGTCTGTACCCTGCCTCCTCAAGGGGTTTTCTAAAACTCTCTTCACTCTAAGGAAAAGTGTGTTCTTCTAATGAACACACCCGATCCCTACCCTACAAGCCAAGGCACCTCCCCACAAAGGGTTCAAGCACTTAAGCACTGTGATGATGCACTCCAAAGAAAATGGTCGCCTGAGACCATGCTCTTGAGATAAACAACTTACCATGCTGCTTGTCTTCAGTGCTATGCCCAGGGGGTCAACAAAAGTGGGAATCTACCTCTGCCCTCCAGGGAGAACATTTAGATTCAAACACTTTCTTAAGGTTTCCTTCCTTGGATCAATGAAGGATTCAGGGGTGGGCCCATCCTCTGACTGTGCTCCCTGTGGGGCTCATCCTCTGACTGTGCTCCCTGTGGGGCTCATCCTCTGACTGTGCTCCCTGTGGGATCCATCCTCTGACTGTACACCCTGAGGGACCCATCCTCTGACTGTGCTCCCTGTGGGGCTCATCCTCTGGCTATGCTCCCTGTGGGGCTCATCCTCTGGCTGTGCTCCCTGTGGGGCTCATCCTCTGGCTGTGCTCCCTGTGGGACCCATCCTCTGACTATGCTCCCTGTGGGGCTCATCCTCTGACTGTGCTCCCTGTGGGGCTCATCCTCTGACTGTGCTCCCTGTGGGGCATCTCTGGGACTTTCTCCAACTCTACTCCATTACCCTTGCCAGGGCTTGGGGGTTAATCACATCTTCCTTTCAGACCTAGGAACCTTCCACCTACCACACAGTTCAAACACAGCATATCCAGCCACACTAGAGCTCCCGATGCTGTGTCTGTGGTGGGATGGCTCTACTTTCCCCAAAACTACTTGATCAAATGGGAAATCCCTTTCACTTTCCTTGATTTGTTTTCTCTTGCTTCATCATAGCTATGGAGACTCTTCTGTGGCTCTACTTTTATTTATCTCTAGTCTCTAACTTTCCATATGATACAACAATAAAACCTTACTCAGATGATAGGTTTCTTAAAGTTTAGCAAGTCCTCTGACCGGATCATCTCAACATACTGCTTCTGAGCAGTCCAGTCTCTCACTGGTCAGCAACAATGGCAGAGGGGAGAGCCCTTCTCTACTGAAGCCCTCTTTCTCAGACAGTTCTTCCCAAGGCAAGTGTTGCCCAGATGATGGTGAGGCCAAGTTCAAAACTAAGAAGGACTTGCTTCTCATTTCCTGAAACCACTGTGGCTTGGCTGGCTCCCAGGTACCTCAGGCTACTGTCTTTCTTGTATCTCCCTAGAAATTTATTTCATCTCCATCTTTTCTCAAAATATCCGATTTTCACCAGTTCTGCCCTAAATGGTGTATCAGGGTCAGCTGAAGGTAAACATATTACTTACCTCCTTGGTAGAAGCTTGTGCCATTTAGTGACTTAAAGGTTAGTGTATCCCATCCTTAAGCCTTCCAATTTCTATTTTAACATGTAACTCTTCAGGATTTCTCCTCAGAAGTATTATTTTGATTGGTGATATAATTTGAAAAAAGGGAAGAAATTTTGACCTGAACTTAAGTTTCTTTCTGACCTCTGTGTTCTAGGATCAGAAGCACATGTCTACTCTCTATCATTTATGCAGCATTCAGGTGTATGATCTGAACACACATCCACTCTCTATCAACATATGCAGCTTCCAGGTTCCTGGGATCTGAGCACACGTCTACTCTCTGTCATTTATGTAGCATCCAGGTTTTCATGTACTTTTAAATACCACAACTCAACTTACACATTATGTATCCAAGCGTACACATTATGTTAGTGTAATACTTGTACCAGCAGGGCCACCGTTATTTAATAATAAACTGGCTCAAGACATCTTAGCTGGGTTTAAGGTCAAACCCCCTTGTCCCTTGCACAGAATGCCCATCATTACTGAAGGGCTCCTTCTGCCTGAAAGTTTCTTCATGGAACTCCCAGGGCCAAGTGTTCTTTTGAATGGTTTTGGATGGTGCCTGGAATTAAAATCTACCCTCCCAAATCCACACTAAAGTTTGTGTGCCACAGTTTTGTTGTGAGATTTTGTAGGGGGTGGGGGCAAACAAACAAACAAACAAACAAACAAAAAACTTGAGGAGTTCCCACAGGGAACTAGGGACCGTCTAAGAAAGAACCGGAAATATAATTTTAATTGAATTGGTCAGTTCTTTTAAGCGCTGTTGAGAAATGACTGGCAGAAAATCGTTAGAGAAATTCTGTTCCATCAGCTATTTGGCATCTTCCGCCTGATTCTGTACAACCTAATCTTCCTGGATTTTGTCATGGTCTCACAACTTTATAAACACGACATGAAGTGAGATAATCCAGAGGGGCAGGTTGTCTAAGGAGATAGAGGTCAGAGAGATAAAATCCATCTCCTCCCTTGCATTTCTGAAGCTAGTAATTAACTTAGGTTGGTGTATTCCCAAATGAATTAATGCGAGGCCCAGGGAAGATACACACAGTGACGCACCCTGTCCCTTCCCTTCTGTGCACACTGTCACATTCCTGTTATGAGCTGGGAAGGTATACACAATGACATACCAGATACCCCTGTTATATACTGGGGAGATACACCGAGGGACATATACACAGTGATGTATTACCACACCTGTGCTGCACACCACAGAGAGGATACACAGCAACGGGCATTATGTCCCTGTTACTCACTGGCCAGGCACACATTCAGGAAGTTTCCATCTCTCCCATTCCTTTCTTTTCCTATCCATTTACACTGTCATTCTTTGCTTTTATCGTACCCACCACAACGTGCTCCAGAATGGCCTGCCTCAACGACATACATTGAAACACTTAACTGTTTCTCTTTAATCTACTGTTAAACCATTGGTCTCTGTTTTATGATAATATATTATTATATATAGCAGCCATGCTGGCTAGTTTTTACATCAACCCCACACAGTTATTTCAGAACTGAGAAAATGCATTCACTTTTTGGATTGATGACTGATGGAGAAGGACCCAGGTCACTATGGACAGTGTTAACCATGGGTTGGTGCTGTAAGAAAGCAGGCTGAACAAGCCATGAAGAACAAGCTGGTAGGTATCATTCATCCATGGCCTCTGTATCAGTTCCTGCTTCCAGATCCCTTCCCTGAGTTCCCTAGATAAGCTTTAAAATGAAATAACCCCTTCCCTCCCCTCCCCAAGTTGCTTTTGGCTGTGGTATATTATTACGGCAATAGAAACACAGTAACACAGAAGCCCATTTCTATCCAAATAATATCATTGTGTGTGTTCTTTTCTGAATCCAGGGCCAATCACATCATAGCATTCTACCACCATCTTTAATTCATTGAAAGCAAACTATCACCTCCCCCACCGGCTCCCTTCACTGTGGATCCTGTCCCCCTTTAAGAACATATGCCCCACATTTTGGCATGACCTCGGGCATGGGTTTGTGCTTTAAACAGCTTCCTTTCTACCTCTGCTGTAGCTCTTCTGATGATGTGTAACTGATAAAAACTAACTCCATAAATTAGTCACCATAGCAATCCTTTAACACTGCAGGAACCTGCTACACTGCCCCCAAAGGAGCTGAGAGAAATACATGTCTATTTTTATCTTGACATTTGGGCTATTTCCCCTCTCCATTTATGGTATGTGAGAGGCCAAAACAACAAAATGAACAGATATCTAGAAAAAAAAAATGAAACGTATGATTTTGACTAAAATCAACTACGCTAGGGAGGAAAGGACAGGTCACACTCATTGGATTACAGAAGCACTGCTTTTCCCATTTAGCTGTCCCAAGATAAACAGAATGTTCTGTAATCTAATCTCCTAAAATTTGACACTCTATCTTTCCTCCTAATCATTCACCCTCTGTGCCAGCAAAGCGAAAGAACCTGTATGTTCTTACAAAACCAATGGCTTGAAGCCCAGAAACTATGAAATAATGTATTATGGAACAGTATTTGATCCTGGAGTTATAGATACCGTGTCGATCCTAGCGTACATTTAATAGAAAAAGTCTATAAATAGTATGAAGAGAGTGGCATAATGCCTACAGCCACAGTTAATAATGTGCAAATGTGGAGAGGGAAAGTAACTGCAGGGGCATTTGGGAGAGTTTTAATTGGTTTGTCATATACATAAAGAACTACTTGCAAAAATATGTCCTAAGGTTTAGGAATAACCTATACACCTCCCTTAAGAAGCAATATTAACTCAAAATATGGCAGTATTCTTTTGGCATATGTTGCTATAATCAGGCTGAATTTATGGCAATGGTAATAATTGATAGGTGTTTGGTCCCTACAGCCATGCCTCTCATAATTAATGTTCATTTGGGCATCTTGTTCCAATTCAGATTCTGATTTGGTCATCCTTAGATGGGCCAGAGAGTCTGCACTCAAAACATGCTTTCAGGGAATGAAGAAGTTTCGGACCCTTAGACCACATGTTGAGACATGTTATCTCACAATTGACATGCATTTCACATGTGTCCAGCAAGTTAAAACATGCATGCCTTCTCCCACGCCCATCTACAGACATCGACAATGAGTTGGCGTCTCTCTTGACCAGCGTGTACCTTGTTAGTGAATCCAATAATCCTGAAGCAATGCTGAATGGCTTCAAACTGTCTCCGGTAAGACTCCTTGGAAGTGATGTCCTGCATGACTCTTTCAGTTCCGGCGGAAGCTATGTATCTGCACAAAGTGGAACACGACCCAGCACGGTAAGTACTCAGCACACAGCACTGTAGGTGAGGGCAGGTGATGCCTGGCCTTCTTTGCAAGGATATTTCCTTCACTGGCTAATACTGTGCCTGTGAGAAATGGCTGTAGTTGAGCTTTCAATCACTCTAAACAACGCAAGTGCTGAGATGTGGTTCTTTCTCCCTCCTCTTGCACATTTAACTTAACAGAATGAGTTTCCAGTTAAGGAAACAGCTCCATTTACTCCTCGATTTGTCAACGGCTTAACTGAATTCATTCAAAATTAACCAGCAACCTCCTCACCGCCAGCAGCAAGGGGTCTTGCAATAACACTTACCTCGGAGGCTTTTCCTCAGGAAGTCTGAACTCAGAAAGTTTCTTTTGGTGATAAAGACCAGCATAAATATAGTAAAATATGTGAAAATTTTTCTCTCCCCTGAAAAAAAAAATGGAGGAAGAAGTCTTATTTATACCATATTCCAGGCTTTCCTGACCTAAATAATTGATTCTACTTCCTCTTTTGTACAAAGTATGGCTTTGCAACAAATTTACATATGCAGGCAATTAAATATGTATCATCCCAATTACAAAACAGCAATAGTGGTAATAGTCATACAGTAATAATGACAATGGCACTTTACCAAAAACATACATCTTCACTATAAACTCAAAGAAGTTCTAGAACTAATTCAGGAAGCAGCTCAGGTTGCATGCAATAATCTTTACATGTAGCTACTGGTCCTTTCCATGCAACAGTCTTTCCATGTTGCTCCTGTGCATCTGTGTAGCTTCAGAGAGTGAGAGTTCATCCTACAGAAACTAGCCAAACCCTGCCTTACTGGAGCCTCAGACAGGGAAATGCTTGGGAATCCCACAGCAGTCAAGAAGGAATTAGTTTCAGAGCTGACGTTGGCACTCTCCCAAGGTATGGTGCTTTCAGACACCCTTAAAAAAATGCCATTCCTCAGTCCCCAATACCTCCTGCTGTCTACCTCTTTTTGTTTGTTTGTTTTATATTTGGGTTTGCTTTTTGGGGGTGTTTTACCTGTACATGTGCCTGTGCATCACCTGCACGCACTGCTCATGGAGGCCACAAGTGGGCACTGGATCATCTGGAACTGGAGTTAGAGAAATTTGCTAGGTACTACATGGGTGCTGAGACCCGACCGTGGGTCGTCTGCAAGAGCAACAATTGCTTTTAACTGCCATCTTTCTATTCCTTGCCCACATCTTCTAAGCCACCCCGGACAGGCTGCCCAGTGTGTTCATTGTGTCAGCAAATGATATAGAAGGAACCGAGACAGGCATGCCTAGACACTGCACAACACGGAGCAGTCTCATGGCACCAAAAGCATGATCATTTTTTGATAAGTGATTTTCATTGCTAGATCACAATGGATTGGGGAGTTGTAGCACAGTTTTGAAAAATGCAGCCTTAGAGCCCTTTTATTTCCTGCTGATATACCTATGGTGGGAAATCCTGCTGTCCACCAGCCTCACTCCATGGGAAGAAGCCTGGTTTGTCACTTCCTCTCTTCCTGTCTGTGGCTTGGTCCCACTCCTTTCTATACCTCTCCCAAGTATCGTTATCTTCCTAAAGCTGTTCAACCTGCTTTATCACTGTATTCTAGATTCTTCTGCTTGCCATTTCTCATTTGTTTGCTCTCTGAACATTACTATATTGTTTTATTTGTCTGTTTTTTTTCTTGAATCCAGAATCTTTCACTTTCAAAGCAATTACTCTATGATGAGCTACAACCCAAGCCAATGGATTGCTTCTTGTGAACCTCCTGCCTCCACTTCTCAGTGCTGGGATTACAAGGCACATGACACCATGCCAAGCTACCCTTATTATTTAAAATCAATTTTAGTATGCGTATTTAGGGTATGCAGCATGACACAGAATAAACATAGATGCTTTTAAAAGATCATTACTTCAACGGATAAACGTACTAAATGCCAATTATGGCAGGAACTGCTCTGGATGCCAGAGAAACAGAACTAAGAGGATTCACACCCTTTCGGAGCATTCCTTCTAGACTGAGTTAGATGGCTGTAAATATTGTCTCATCTTGCTTTCCTCATGTGTTACACAGGCCTAATAATGCCAGCCTCCCAAGGCTGTTAAGAGACTTGAATGAGATGGAGAGTCATTAAGACTTTTCAGGTCCTGTCCTTCTAACTGTGGTGGCGGTTCCTTTTTCTAGGCACACTTAAGTATCCCATTTCCTGGTCCTCAATCTCTGGATGAAGTCAACTGAAGGTCTGACAAATGGACATTGGATAAGCAACCTTTCAGAAGCTGGCCAAGTGTAATACAGTTCTATGAGTGCTTGTATGCCAACTTCTCTCCCTGTTTCCCTTCTGTCTACAACTCCTCACAGCTCCTGCTCAAGATTCGGGCTTTGTGGCTTCACTGTAGGGTATTTCCCTGGACTTGGCATACTGATTCCAGCCCCAGCATTTTTCTTTATCATAAACCTATGACTGTTTCCTTTAAAGCCCTCATGCCAAACTCCCCTCTTGTTTCATTTAGCTCTCTTTTTCTCTACACTCCTGTCTGCACTTTGTTGGCTGACTCCTAAGTGATCCAAAGATCTCAGATCAAATATTTTAAATCCAGGGAACCCATCTTTCCTTCTGGACCCCAGATGTACCGGCTAGTTTCACATCAACCTAATACAAGACAGAGTTATTTAAGAAAAGAGAACCTCAACCGAAAAAAATGCTCCTACCAGATTGTCCTGTGGTGCTTTTGGTTTAAGAAGACAGGCTGAGCAAACCCTGGGAGCAAACTAGCAAGCAGCACTCCTCCATGGCCTCTGCATCAGCTCCTCCCATCTGCGGTCCCATCCTGACTCCTTTGGTGTTGGACTGTGATGTCAAAGTGTAAACAAAAGAAATCCTTCCCTCCCCAAGTTGCTTTTGGTCATGGTGTCTTACCACAAATGGAACCCCTCCTTCCTCATGAACCCCATACAACTCCTTTTCCTAAACCAGGTTATGTGTTCTCCTCTTCGCCTGTTTACCCTTCCCAGCACTTACTCAAAACACTATAGCTTCCATGTGCTGACCACATCTGCTCTGTTTATTTGTTCCTATGACAACTGTGACCCTCTCACCCCTACTCCCCACCATCACCACCACACACAGCCACTACAAACTCTGTGGATACGAGGACTTGGTCTGTCTTGTTGTCCCTGCAGAGAACACATGGCTGTCATATAGCAGGCATTCACTACTGAGTAGCTGGGTGCACGGAGCCCTGCTCCTGAGAAACACTGGTGTCCTGTAGTAATCAGACACTAAGAAGAAGAGCAGCTAACACTGTTGACATGCACCATGTGGCACATCCTTTTGAAAATTTCCTACAGGTGGACTTGCCAGTCTTCCCAGCAAACCCACGAGACCATGGCTGGTAGCATTTCCATTTCACAAATGAGGCTCAGGAACACTCAGGGACCGGCCCGACATCAGAGAGTCAGAACCAGTGTCAAGCCAAGAACAACATGTTGATGACTCTTACTGATTACTATAACGCTTTTCTTAAAACAGTGTTGTAGTTTGAATAATGTCCTTCATAGGCTTGTATATTTGAGCACTATGTCCCCAATTGGTGGCACTGTCTGACAAGGTTATGAAACCTTTAGGCAGTGGAGTCCTTCTGGAGGAAGTACATCACTTAGGGCAGGCTTTGAGGTTTGACTACCTGACCAGACTTCCTGTCCTCACTCTCGGCTTCCTGTGTGTTGATGAAATGTGATTGGCCAGCCTCCTGCCCCTGGCTATTGTCTTTCCCAGCCATGATGGACTGTATCCCCACTGGAACTGTAAGATAAAGCAAACTCTTCCTTTCCCAAGCCTTTTAATTATAGTAGTCTATCATAGCAAAAGAAAAGTAATTAATACATAGTCTAATTGCATTCTTTCTCTCCCAGTTGAAATAAATATTTGTGGAATTTTCTCAGTGCTTTTTTAAATAGACAATTTCACATTTAGGGATAAAGTTTTGGGTTTTTTGTTTGTTTGGTTTGTTTTTTGTTTGTTTTTTTATTTTTGTTTTGTTTTGTTGTTTATTTATTCATTTATTTTGAGGTAGGGGTTTATCTGTGTTGCCCTGGATGTCCTGGAACTCACTCTGTAGACCAGGCTGGTCTTGAACTCATAGATCCACCTGTGTCTGCCTCCTGAGTGCTGGGATTAAAGGTATGTGCACCACCACCTGGCTGATAAAGTGGATTTTTAAGATATGTGCAAATTAATTATTGTTAAATTCTACCTTATATAACCAACTCAAGAGAAACAGACATACCATTTATAAAGCCCCCCCAAGCCCTTTGCACTCTCCCCTTAGTGCTTTTTAGGTAAATCTAACAAACAACAACAAAGCAAAACCAAAAACTCCCACCGAGGGCTGGAGAGATGGCTCAGCCGTTAAGAGCACTGGCTGCTCTTGCAGAGGCTTTGAGTTTGGTTTATAAGCTGCACATGACAACTTACAACAATCTGTAACTCCAGCTCCAAGGAACTAACTTTCCTCCTCTGGTCTCTTAGGGTAACAGGCACTCATACAGTGTTCAGACATACACACAAATAAAATAGCATAAACATAAGACAAAACTAAGTTAAAACAAAAAAGAAAAAAACAAAAACCAAAAAACAGAGTAACTATCACTGGTCCTTTGCTTTAAAAAAAATTGAGGGAGACTAAAGAATATGGGGAGAAAGGATCTTTAAAATTCCCAAATCCTCCAACTTTATATTGGCAGAGCAAAAACGGTGATAAAATATAAGTGCACCCACGCTGCCTGCTTTATAACTCTGGATTTTTCAAGGAGATACTCGGAGATTCTTGCCCCCATCACAGCTCCAGTTGGTGTGAACATCATTTCCAAGTACTTTCCAAACCGGCTGGAGTTATCATTGATGGCTGTGCAGGCGTTCCCAAAGGCTTCCACCAAGGAGTTCACTTGGAGAATTTTCTGACGTAAGGTCTGATTATTGGCCTGGGGGGAACAGAGTGCAGTTTAGAGAAGCAGACATTCCAATAATGTCTCTAGTGACCACACACACAAACACACACCACCCATGCTCTTTTTTCTAAGAACTCCATTTTGGGAAAGTTAGTGTCAACCCTGTATGAAGGAGTCACCAGGTGCCATGAGTCAGATTTGGTGGCAGTTTGAAAGTCTGACCACATTGCATAGAAAATCCTTGTCAGATGTTTACTGGTTTGCAGTTCAGAAAGAATTCCAAATACATATATCCTCTAACTTTTCCACTATGCTCTTCAATAAACCTCAGTTCTCATAAGAGTCCTCAAACCCTTTCTTAGTCACATGATGCCAAGTATAGGCGACTCCCGGACTAACTTTGCAATCTTTCCTTCCTTGTCCAGGCTGCAATTTGCAATTTTCCCTTTCCTTAACTGTTGCTCAACAGATTCCATTTGCCTGCTTTCTTTCTTTTTTTCTTTCTTCCTTTCTCTCTTTTTTCTCTTTCTTCCTTCCTTTCTTGATGTTTTAAGTTGATATTTTACGCTTTCTTAATTTTTTAATTCATTTTCTATACCAACCACATTTTCCCCTCCCTCTCTTCCTCCCTCTCCCCACCCTCCTCACCTCCCATCAACTTCTCAGACAGAGTAAGGCCTCCCAAAGGGAGTTAACAAAGCCTGGCATATCAAGTTGAGGCAGGACCAACCCCACCCTGCTGTATCAAGCCATTTGCAGGCTTCCTAATCACCCCAGTGCCTCTGACTCAGTGTCTAGTTACTTCTCCCACTTAACAGCCCAATGTTTCTATTACACTGAAAACACACAAAATGATTAATTTGCCCACAATCTAGTAAATCCGCGTTGGTATTATTTTTCTCACTACATGAAGTAAGGACAGCATGCTGGCATCTTAAGAGCCCAGCTATCAAGAGGCAACACAGCAAAGATAAACTGTTCTTGTGTGATTCTCAATTTAAAAAAAGAAGAATATAGTACTCCTATCTGCCATGGAATGTACAGTTGGTTCTGCATGGGGCTTCAAATCACTATATAGAATCTGGTTGGCCCATACCTTTCCCAAGAAAGTCAGGTGCTGAACGATGAGATGGGTACTCTCTGTCTTCCCTGATCCGCTCTCTCCACTGATGACGATGCACTGACACAGGAAATAGAGTCAGGGGGGAGTCTGACAAACTACCACACAGACGCAACCTCTGCATCTGGCTGTGGTTTTTCCATATAACGCCCTCCTTTTTTTCCACTGACCTATCCTGAAACTCTTTCCAGTATATGAAGAGCTGGGACAGCTGCTTGTCATTGCAAAGTATAGACATAGCACTATCTGATGGTGATGTTGTTAATTGATTGTTGGAAGTTGTTTGGTCTATTCTTGTAACAAACTATTTTTGCAATGAATAATCCTATACACAGGCCATTGTATCTACATTCAGACTTCTTTGCTGAATAAATTCCAAGTGGGCAAAGTTCAATCAAAAAGTAAAAGTATTTGTAAAATAGCTATCACTGTATTGCTTGGCTAGGGGCCATAGCAGCGGACGAACTCACTAGGGTAACAATTTGTGTTTGCTATCATATTAGAAAGGGTACGGAACCCAGGGCCAGCTATATGGGAGACATGAACAGGGCATGTGGAGCTGAGGTAGTGGCACACAGAAAGTAGTCTTCTCTCTTACAGCCGCACCACAGTGGTGATGGGTTAAGAAGCAGGTATTCAATGCTCTTTGAATCTGTGTGGCTTTTATTATGAATGAGGTCAAATGCCTGCCATATGCTTAAGGTCAACCATATTTTATTTTTGTTCTTGTCTATATCCTTTGCCTGTGTTTTGTTTTGTATTGTTGGCAGAGCTCACACTTCCAGGAGCTCCTTGTGCACAAAGGAAATCAATGATAAGGTAGAGTATGAACAACATATTTGGTCTTTGTCCTTGGTTCCTGGCAAAGAGCCTCTTGGAGTTTCCTGACTGGTGGAGTGATGGGAGTGTCTGCTGCTTAGGAGGAATGGCTCCAACCACACCTCTGCTGTGTGTGGGGTGGTTCCATGCTGGAGCCCGACTAGACTACCTCAGGCGGGGATGGGCAGTGAGAAAGAACAACCGATGGTTAGAGGGTGGGAACTTTCAGGACCCCCCCCCAATCTTCCAGGAAGCAAAAGAGGTTGCAAATTGAGCTCAGCAAAAACTTTTATTGAAAATTTTTATTATTCAAAATTTTATTTTTCAAAATATTCTATTAGCATATACTCCTTTCACATGGTATTGGATTTCAAAGATTTTTTTTTTTCAGTATATCATGACTATATTTATCTTAGTCTTATTCCCTGAGTTATAAAAATTTTGAATGATTAGTTTATTTTTTACCATATGTGCATTGGTGTTTTGCCTGTGTGTATATGTCTGTGTGAGGGTGTCAGATTGCCTGGAACTGGAATTACAGGTAGTTGTGAGCTGCCTTGTGGGTGCTGGGAATTGAACTTGAGTCCTTTGAAAGAGCAGCCAGTGCTCGAGTTGTAAAAGCTCTTAAAAAATGAGATGCAATGAGTTTAGGAGCGATGAAGGTTCTGGGGAAAGTGCTTGGTGAAAGGCAGGGTCCTGTGTGCCTCTCCATCTGTTCTGTTCCTGTCTCCCACCTGGCTGCCCGGGGTTGTGCCCTAATAGGCCAGTAAAGACAAATTCAGTTTTCTCCTTAATTCTTTGAGATGTTCTAGTGAATTATCCAGCTCGAGAGAGGATTGTTGGGACTCCTGAACTTGTACTTGGCTTGGCAGGAGTGTGGGGACCCTGGGGACCCCATTTGTGGCTGGCATCTGACATGTGAGCATTTTCATTGACGTTAACCTGTAACTTGTGGGACCAGGGCTACACTGAATTGCAGGGCACCCTGGAAAAACTGTTTAGTGTTGGAAAACACACAATTTGGTGTCAGAAACAAAATGGGGGTGGGGACAGAAAAAAAAAGATAAAAACAAAACCTACAGAAGCAAGCTTTTTAGCTTGAAAGTCATGTTCTCCAGTTAGCAAATCTCCCAATAATGCAGAGACTGGTCATCGCTAAGGCCAGGAAACCTCTGTTCTGTGACTTTTATTGTGCAGTGTTTTGAGTGAGAAATGTCCCTCATGGTTTGGGGCGTTTGCACACTCAGTCCCTAGTTGGTGGTGCTGTTTGGGGAGGGTTAGGAGGTGTGGCCTTGCCAGAAGGTAGGTAGGTGTGTGTGTGTGAGTGTGTGTGTGTGTGTGTGTGTGTGTGTGTGTGTGTGTGTGTGTCACTGGGGAGCTTGGAGAGTAAAAGCACTCCCCCTACTTTTCCTTTGCTCTCTTTGCTTTGTGTTTGCAGTTCATGCTGAGCACACCCAGTTGCTACTCCAGCTGTCACACTGGCTTGCTGCCGCACTTTTCCACCATGAGGGACTCTCATGCCTCTGGAACTGGAAGCCAGATAAACCCTTCCTTCTGGAAGTCTCCTTGGCCATGGTGTTTTATCACAGCAACAGAAAAGTCACTGATACACACTGTTAATAATTTTGCCTACCCTCAACAGGCCCAAAAGTCTGGACTTTTTTGGTCTCTGGAAATACATACAGAGTAAGTGCTCATAAAATTGTCTCGCCAAATTAGCCTACCTCTATTTGTTTATTTAACACAGAAATAATAGAAAAGAGACCTAGCAAAATGGGGGCGGGGCCAAAGGCAGGATCAGCCATGCTGTGAATTAGAAGTCTAGACAATTATAACTGATGAGTTAAGCTTGTGTTGAACATTGAACTTAAAGTTTATCAGTCTTGATCCTAGCCCATCAAATTTCCCAACAGCTAGATGATGTAGGGCCAGGCATTCAGGGAGTACAATATTTCACATACACGGGCCCAGTCATGAAGATTCTGAGATATTAATAGGAGAGAATTTCATTTATGCCATTATATATCCCATTTTTATTACAGCCATTACATGTAATCAGGTTGTGGCTGCTCTATGTCCTCATTAAGTCTATATTAGAAATGCCTTTATTGCGTTTCATGAGAGAAAATGACTGCTCCTGATGTGTTATGAATCTCAAAAGGGTTTTCTCCTTCTCAGGCTTCCAGTCCCTCTGTACTGAAAATCCATTTCCGATTTTCTCAGGCTAGCCTCACAACTACAGGTCCAAACAGAAGTGGCAGATGAACCATGTTCTACCTTGTGAGCTGGCAGAAGAGGAAGGCAAGTCCTTACCTGGTCTTTGCTGGAAGTCACCAAACACTGATATGCGTTATCAGCTGATGCAAATATGTGGGGGGGATTCGAGTCTCGCTTCACCCCATGATAGAGCCTGGAAAACTGGAGGAAATATGTAACTAATCTAAAGGACCCTTCAAGTGCCCCCACTGGACCATCTAACGCTTTCACTGTCCATTACCCAGAAAAGCAAGGCTATAGTGAGATGTCCACCCTGCCCGCACCTGATGCACTGACCAGGCCCATTGGGGCATGGGGGACAGGTATTGCCTTGACGGTGGGAACTAGGTCTGGGGTTCCAGACTCCAGCTGGCTCTTTTACTTCTTGGTTGGAGACAGAGAGCATCCAGAGGCATCCTTGGGACGGGAACCTGTGGTGGTCATCTGTTTCTGGCTTAAGTGATTTCTCCCCAAATAAACATCCATCAGCCTATTGTTTCCCAGATTCTTATTTACCATGCCACACAAGGGTTTTTCACTTTAGGGGACTCACTGCTTCTGGAAGGCTCAGGGATCTGCAGGCCTGTTTTCTGACCCCTGTTCTCTGTGACTGGCTATGCAAGCTCTGGTAAGGGGCACTAACTACTCTTCTCTGACTCTTCTTCTACTGAAGGGGCAGAGTATTCATGGCTTTCCCATCACATAGGGTGATAAGAAGTGACCCAAGCCAGTGCTTGGCAGGTAGCAATCATTCACTCATTGTTAACTTTTATTGCTGCTTGATTTAAGAAGTTTCTCCCAAAGATAAAATCCCATTTATGTTAAATTATTGTCTACAATTTGGGATATCAGCCCCACAGTAGGAGATGGGTTACACGGTTTTAATACTACTTCATATTGTTTGCATGCTTGACTTTCTTTGTTCAGTGCTGGAGTTTGAACCCAGGGCCATGGACATGTTACATACTAAGCAATTGCTTTACCACTAAGTTACATCCCCAGCCCCAGCCTTGTGATTTTTAATCATCCATGAAGGAACAAAACATACTTTTAAACCAGTTCTCACCTGTGGGGAGTATATGCTTAGAGTCTGGAAGGGGTTTAAGGCAATTAGAATATCTCCAACATAGGTGTAGATCAACGCATCTGCATACCGCTTCTGCAGCCAGTAGATAACTGTATCCTAGGAAGAGGAGAAACAGCCTTGAGAGACATAATCAGTCAAGGCAGAGATGCTAAGAGTGGTAATGAGCTCCTTACATGTTTTAGTCTAAAAAGATTAAAGCAATCCATTCAAATCTTAACACTCTTGATTATTCTAAGTCTCTAAAATGACAGATGCCTTGAAAAGATGCAATAATAAGAACTGCTGAAAGAATTAAGAGTTGCTGACAGGCATCAAGATAGCCAATGAAGATTTCAGTTGTGACTGGGCTGGGGGCAGACTTTGTCCAATCAGAAGGTTCTATTTAATAATTAGATTTAAGTGTAAGACAGATACCCCAGGAACCAAACTTGGAGACCCTTGAAGAGTAGCAATTGCTCTTGCTATTAACAGCTGAGCTGTCTTGCCAGGTCTAGTAAGTTCATTTTTCAGAAGTTACACCTAAAGTCTTGATTGTGAGAATGTGGAATTGAACTATGGTGTTACATGTTAGTGAGAGAGGTGTTGGTGCTGAGGGTACCTAGCAGAAGATTCTATAGGCACAGGTTCAACTTAACTAACAGCCAAAGCAAATGTAAGTATCCTGAATGAGGAATTTTATCATAGTTTTCAGATTTCAAATGTGAGCTATAGTAACTCCACCTGCCTTTGTGAAGGATATGTCTCCTTATGAAGAACAAACAACTGTCTTCAGTTTAAAGTGCAATTTTTTTTTATTAAATAGAAAACAAATTTAAGTTGGTGGGCTTCATTGGTTAGACCTGTGACATAGAGGGCTTTGATAAAAATTTTTCCTTCATCATTCCAAAACTATAAATGAGCACACTGAGGGTTATAGTCACAGAATGGAATGTCCCTTGAACTTCACTCCATAGCTAGCCAAACAATTAAATCTTTAAATGGCTTTAGAAGAATGCCCAGAGAAAAGACAAGCCATCTGTATGAAACACAAGCCATCCATGAGAGCTGTCTACTAAGTATTCAGTACCTCATCCAGGACCTCGAGGTTGACCAAGTCACCCTCAAGGCAGGATTTGTCAGCATCCTCCACTTGACAGGGTCTTCTGGTATGCATCCTTTCATGCCTGGAAACATGGAGAGAGTATCAACATCCAGACAGCCCATGCTGCAGAAGAAGGTAGATGATGAGGTCAGCTCACTTGAGAAGTCGGCACATGACTCATGCAGCAACCTCAGGGACAATGACGGACTGTGGTTCCAGCAGGGGAAGTCTCTATTCCACCACAGTGAAGAACTTTACCAAGTGGACCCACCAAACATACTTTTTTATTTCCTAAATTCCAGTTGCAGCACTTTCAGGAGGTATATTTTGCATTTATATTTTTTCCCAGCTCAATGTGGTACAAGGTCTGCCTGAGTGAGGTGCTTCATACAGAAGGAACCAAAAGCCCAAAACTAGGCAGCAAGAACCCTCGTTTAAAGCATTCTACACCCTGTTGAAGCAAAGTCTTTCCACTGAGTTACAGCTGCTTGCTTTCCTTCTCCTAATGTCCCTGCCCTGACTGCTAGCACCCAAACTTCTTGATAACTTTTTTTTTTTAAAAACTACTTTTCAAAGAATAATGTTGCAAGTACCAAAGAGTTGACCGTGCTTTGCATTTTACCTTGTTTAAAAATCCCTTTGTGACTTGCCCCAGAACAACTCTCTGGAGATATTCTCTCAGCCTGTTCCTAAATGTTGGTCAAATGCATACAGGCATCTACAGGCAACACATGGGTTGTGCATGTTCAATTATAAAAACTGACATTCTGGGGGTTTTACTTAACAAATGTGTGATGGGAGATGTTATTCTGTAAATATGTTTCTCTTATTGGTTAATGAATAAAGCACTGTTGGCCAATAGGAAAGCAAGATAGGCGGGGCTAGGAGGCAAGGAGGTTTTGGGGAGAGGTAGTGGGAGATTCAACATGTAGGACCAAGAGAATACAACTCCAGACCCTCTCTGGTAAGATAAGACCACATGGAAATATTTAAGATTGATAGAAATGGGTTAATGTTTAAGACAAAGCTAGCCAATAAGAAACGTTAGTAACAGGCCAACAGCTTTATATCTAATACAGGGACTCTATGTTATTTGGGGCCGGCATGGCTGTGGGACCAGGCTTCTGTGGCCAGTGCTTTTACTCACTGAGCCATCCTTTCAGACCCATACTTGCAACTGCCTATTGTGGGGCATCACTTACCAGGCATTCCAAAAATTGAGTTACAATAAATAAAAATCACCTGTGGCATTCCAAATTACATTTTGTTTTAGCTTTTGCTTATTTGTTTGTTAGCAAGGTCTCATGTATCCCAGGCAGACCTCGTAGGACTCGCAGTGTTACTAGAGGAGGGCCTTGCAAGGCATGCACCACCCCACCCAGTTTGCCTGGTTCTGGCAATCAAACCCAGGGCTTTGGATATGTCATATAAGCATGCTACCAACTGAGTCACATCCCAGCCCAAAATGTAATTCTTTAAGTCATGTAATTAATTTAAGTAGGCATCCCCATAATTCCCTTTGTTGGGGATAGCATTAGCCTACAGGGCAAAAGCTCTGGTCCCTGTCTCACAGTTGGGAATCATGAGCAAGACACTCAAAAAAAAAAAATCCCTTAGCAGCAGCAACTCAGCTCTCTTCACCTATAAATGTGATTACTCATGACCAACCTATCTGTGCCACAGGTGGTTATGAAAGCACACACAATCTCAGGTATAAAAGTTCAAATGAGGTTTTAAATGCATCAGGTCCTAATTAAAATTCAGAACCAACAGTTTGTATAGCTCCTTTCATTACTTAGAATACCACTAAATTTCACCTGTAAATGCCCTCCTGCATCCCATAAGTTCACCAGTGGACAGCATCACTGCTTCCTAGTGGTGCCATACCCCCAGTACCATCATTTTAAAGCGTGTCACCCTCTGATGCAGTTTTGTCTCCCTGGGTCCCACGCCTGGTTTTGTCTGATGTTTTGCTGTACAGTATTGCACAAAAATCATGGAATCTTCATGCATACTCCTCCTTGCTACTCACACAGAGGAAATAGATAGTAAGACACCTTCGAGTCAGCGACACCAAGTCCTCCCTTCCCAGTCCCCATCACTGGTAATTTCAGATTAGAAGGTTCATGGGAAGCATGTCTGGTACTGGAGTCAGTTTGATTGCAAAATTCTAACATAAAACTGGGGCTTCATTTTATTTAATCTAATCAAATCAGTAACCTAAGTGGTTAACCAGAACATTTCCTTTGTCTCTGTCTTTACATGTAGGTGATGTCAAAGAGAAACCAAACTGGGAGCTGTGAAGATAGCTCTGTGATTACATGTGTACTGCTTTTCCAGAAGACCTGAATTTGATTCCCAGCACCCATGTTTACAATAGGTAGCTCACACATGCCTACAAACTCCAGATCTAGGGGCTCGGCCTCTGCAGGCACCAGCAACCATGTGCACAGACCCATACATACACATAATTTGAAAAAATAGAATGTGTGGTGCATACTTTTAATCCTAGCACTCAGGAGGCAGAGGCAGGCAATTCTCTGTTGGAGGCCAACCTGGTCTACATAGTGAATTCCAGGCCAGCCAGCCAGAGTTACAGAGACAGATCTTGTCTCCAAAAATAAATAAAGTTGTTTTTTAAAGATAAAAAAAATCAAATTGGTTTAAAGTATGTTTTTAGTCAGGTGTTGTGGGGAACCCCAGAGCAAAGTTAGCATCTTAACAGCCATCTTTCCTACTACTGTCTTAGATACTAACATTCTGGTAATTTTCCATTCTATGACTGTTCTCCTGTTAAACATATGACACAGCCTGACCCTGAAAGAGTCCCAGCTGCAGGCTTATCGTATAGCAACTTATCTCATAGCAGGACACCTGCATCCTGCTTGGAAGGACATTCTGTCTCCCTCACATCCTCCCTTTGGTCCATTCCCTCGTTTCTTCACTAGTTAAAGCCTGTGGTTATATTCATTAAACGGGACTTGATCAGAACACTGTCTTGTCTCCATCTCTTGTGTCTCTTGTCTCCTCAGTCTCACTCCCTCCCTCAGGTTCCCCATCACTGACCCCCTCAGGCCAGGACAAGGTGTGGTGATGCACAGGTATAAACCCAACAGTTGGGAGGGTGCAGCCAGAGGACCAGGAGTTCAATACTATTCTGGGCTACATATAAGGAGCTCCCAACCAGTCTGGGCTACAAAAACCCTTGTATTAAAAAAAGGATGGGAGTGGGATGCTAATTTTTACTATCACTAAGAGCATCCATCTTCATTCTTGCCTGCCGTTTTATTAAATAAAATACCAGGAAGTATACTTCTGCTCCAAATAGCTATATAAGCCTAAGAGGTTTTTTTTTCCCCCTTAAAGTTCAACATAAAGAAAGAAAACAAACTCAACTTTTTAATATAAAGCTGAATTCTCATTGTACTGACTTCTTCCAACTCACCTCTTTCCTTGCTTATGCCGGGTAATTGTGTGGAATAAACCATTTGACAAAGAAAGTTAGAAAGTCTTGAGAGATTGCTCAGTAGTTAAGTGCACTGGCTGTTCTTGCAGAGGCCCCTGGTTCCATTCCCAGCACCCACATGGCAGCTCACAGCTGTCTGTAACTCCGGTTCCAGAGGCTCTGATGCCCTCTTTTGGTCTCCAAGGGCATGAGGCACATGTGTGTTGCACAGACATTGCCCACAAAGCTGATTCTGTTAAAATGGAGCCAACAACCCCCCCCCCAACCTGTGTCTCTCTCTACCAGAGAGCAACTGAATACTCAGGGTGGAGCTTGAGTAGCTGCCTACAGATGCTGGGAAGTGAACGCTCACAGACAGAAGGGTAAAGAATTCAGAATTTGAGATCCCAGCAAAGCAATGTGCTTCCTAGGGGTGTTTCCCTCCTATCACTGCTAGCCTGGACTATACAAGGGATGCACATCATGCTGGATGATGTTTTTGCAGGCAGCTAAAGAGGAAAGCACTGGTAAACCTTAGCTACAGTCTCACAATAAATAGATTCTAGCATAAGTTGATTCTCAGAATGCGCTAACACAGTTAGACACCACCAGGATCCAAATGCGCATTTTCCCAAGCCCACCAGCAGATTGTCTATAGTTATGACAGTATGTCTGTCTGTCTGTCTCATACACCTAACCTCCAAGAATCATGCCGATGAGCTTGAAAATCACAATCTCATTAAAATCTCCTCACAAAGATTTAGACAAAACAACTTGAAAAAGATATTTTAATTATTATTATTAGCAACTTGTGACCTCCTCTCCTGCTAATTGGCAATTTAATCCTTGGAGTTAGATTTGTTCAAGATTGTAGTTGGCAATCTAGAAGTTAGTGTTGATACAAGATATTTCTACTCTGTTAAAAACCAGTTCACTAGTTCAACAAGATACACACACACATATACACATGCACACTCACTCACATATGTATACTCACGTATGAACATGTGAACACACATGCATACTCACATACACACATATTACATGCATACACACATGCTCACTCACATATGCATACTCACATACACTCAGGCGCACACATACGCATACATTACATGATACACACATGCTCACTCACACACACGCACACACACACACACACACACACACATGCACACACTCACACACTCCAGTAGCTCCATTTGCCCTCTCCAGTTAGCGTTCCTCTAAAAAGGATGCCTGCTTCATTTTCCTCCTTAGGGGTTCAGAGAGTTAAAAACACTGATCCTGATGCTTATTTCTTTTTTAAAAAAAAATTCGAGACTTTAGATAAACTTATAAAAAGTATTGTTTCTCTACTTTTAGTTAAAAATCAACAAAATTAAATTTGTTTTAATTTTGTTTTTCTGTGTTTTTAATGGTTTGTTGTCACCAGTAACTACAAACTCAGATTTTCAAAACTCTCATGCTCCACCTAGTGCCATAACTTAAGAACAGCATCTACTAACAATGTTTGCCAAATAAGTCCTCGATTAACATAAAAATTACAGATCTACTTAAAAATACTTGTTTTTTTTTTTCTTTTTCCCCAGGATGGGCTCCTGTCTCAAAAAACAAACAAACAAACAAACAAAAAC